TGTCTACCTGGTGAAATTGGAGGAATTCTGCCCAATGTATCACTCCGCTGTCCCTTCCTGCTTCACATTTTTCGATTAATGCCTTGTTCATTCCATAGAAGATACTATTTCTTCACACCACCACTTTGTAATTAATTAATTAACATTAATTAATGTTTTAGAGATGGAGGGTTCTCTATGTTGCCCAGGCTGGTCTCAAACTTCTGGGCTCAAGTAATCCTCCTGTCTCAGCCTCCCAGGTAGCTGGGATTACAGGCACCACCTGCAGTGCCCAGCTCACATCATCACTTTTTAATCTGCAGAAACTCAGATTCCACAGAGAGGAATCTGTGATTACCAAGAACAATTCTTTCATAAAAATAAAATTTATTGGATTTCTGACCAGGTGCAGTGGCTCATGCCTGTAATCCCAGCACTTTGGGTGGCTGAGGCAGGCAGATCACGAGACCAAGAGATCGAGACCATCCTGGCCAACGTGCTGAAACCCTGTCTCTACTAAAACTACACACACAAAAAAACAGCTGGGCTTGGTGGTGCTTGCCTGTAGTCCCAGCTACTCAGGAGGCTGAGGCAGAAGAATTGCTTGAAACCGGAAATCGGAAGTTGCAGTGACCCAGGATGGCACCACTGCACTCCAGCCAGTCTGGTGATAGAGCAAGACTTTGTCTCCAAAAAAATAAATAAAAATAAAATAAAATGTGTTGGATTTCTATGATAAAAACTATAAAGAAATGGTCCCATCCCTAAGGTTGAGGAAAGGAAAAGGGTCGAAGGAAGTGAATGCAGAGAGGGATAATTTCAGGAAATGGTGGGGCTGACAGTGACACTGGAGAGGAGGCCCGTGTTAGGACTGGCCCAGCGCACCACAGGGGGCCACCAGGTGTTGAGAAAGCCCTGCCTGGTGCCCAGCACTTGGCACTGCACCTGGCATAGAGCAGGTGCTTGAAAGCTTTGTTGAGTGGATGGAAGCCTGGATGGAAACAGAAGCCAGGCAGGGAGGCGGGCGCCAGTACAGGGATTGGAGGTGAGAAGGCATCAAACACTTGACCTACTGTATGACTTTGCTCAGGTAAGCCCAAGAGGCAAGCACAGTGACAAATCTCCAATCAGCAGACAAAGGAGCTGTGAGTAAACCATTAACTGTGCGGCTGGCTGCTCTAACTAGAAAGCTCTGCTTTGGGGAAATCCATTTCATGTTTGTTACCGATCATAGCAGCCCCAGTTCAGTCCTCTGACCTACACTTCCTTAGATTGACAGTCCTCAGTATCCTTCCCTATAGGGTGCCTCAGGGTGGGCCAAGGCCATCTGGGGACCATCGCCAGCCTCCTTTGTGCTGGTGCCAAAGGAAGATCAACCCGTGGCACTTTTCTGTATCTCACCAGCAGTGCTGACAGCTGAGCCATTCCACGCACCTTCGGAGCAAAGAACTGCCGGAAACCAGAGCCAAGTACAGAGCCTGAAATTGTTTTCAAAGGCTACAAGGAGAAGCCTGGAGGGCCTGATCACACATTACATAATCTGTATGTCAGGGTGGGGGCCCTCATGCGAGGATCCCAGTGCCTGTCAGAATTGCGCAAGTTTTACGCAGAAGCACTTAAGTGTCGTAAGCTGACTCCACATCTTTACCAAAAATGTGAAACATCCACCCAGCACACACTTTAAAAACACTAAAGCTCTTCTCCACCAGGTGGCTAAGGCTGCTTGATGGGGCTGACAGGAGAGGATCCTTGCAGGGGGTGCTGAGTTACTGTAGCTCTTGGCCCAGGGAGCTGGACACGCAGTGCTTTGCACCCCAATAGCCTTGGGCAGCCCAAGCCTCTGATAAAATGTACTTTTTTGTGTGTTTGTTTTTCCTGGCAGTCTCATTTTGGGTTATAAATGGCTCATTATTTCCATCCCATAGATCCCTTCTTGCCTCTGTTGCGTTCTCTTTTAGCTTTCCAAAATAACCGAAAGGTTGGTAAAATCAGCACTGGCAAACGGCTTGTTCTGACCTTGAGCGGAGGCCGAATTTCCACATTGCTGACGCCATCTACAGTTGCTCCCATGTCCGAGAGGTTGGCTGGAAAGGCCTCCTGAAAGCAGGGGATATAATTATACTTACACTAAAGCACTTGTTGCCATTAAATGCCAGGAAGTGGCATGGACCTTCCCTTGCTGCTGCCCTGCAACCTTGTCAGAGGACTATTGGGCAATCATCAGAGGTTATAGAGTTGGAACAGCATTCCCCCAGATAGGTCATTTTCCCTGCAGTACAGCTTGGAGGCAAATTTTATTAAGTATCAAGTAGCTGACCCAAAGCAGTATAAATAGCGAGAGAACATATGACAAACCCAGAAATGAATGTGGTTAAATCCCAGGCTGAAGACATATAATGTGTTTACTGTTATCAGCACCTGCATGAAGATATTTTTGCCCAGTAGCCATCCAGGAAAAGATAAAACATCTAAGTGATGTTATTAAGGCTTGTTCTTAGAAAAATAATTTTGACCCTACTTTTGGAAGTCAGTGGACCACAGAGATAATTTGGGAAAGGGACTGGAGGATAGGTGGGTGTGATTGGGTGTCATAGGAAGTAGAGAAGGACCATTATAAAACATCACAAGTTCAGCCAGTCAAGAGCCAGGGGGAAAAAAAAGCATGGAAGTGTAGCTTACATTGGGTGGGGACTGTAAGCAGTCACTATCAGGCAAAAGGGACCTCTAAACTGGAATTTTTCGAGGGAAACATGGAGAACGTTTTAATTCAGGCCTGTTTTCCTCCATTGTTCCCTACCTTTATTTTAGGACATAAGACGGAGTTCAAACCATGCCTTAGTGACATTGATCAGGCCACAGATGACTGAGTTATGAGGGGCCATGAGCAAGGTCCGTTTCCTAAACCAGCTGTTTCTCATCAGTCCTGTCCCCACTGGCCAGAGCTGTTGACATCCTGGAAGATAATCTTGTATTCCTACAATGATAGGAGAAGGTTCTGTGGAGAAATAGTGTAACATTTTATATTTAATTATTATGGGTACATAATACATGCCTATACTTATGGCAGGGGTACATGTGATGTTCTGATATAGGCATGAGGTGTATAATAATCACATCAGGGTAACTGGGTTGTCCATCACCTGAAGCACTTATTATTTCTTTTTGTTAGGAACATTCCAGTTCTATTAGTTTCATTTTTGTTTGTTTGTTTCTTTGTTTTTGAGAGGCAGGGTCTTGCTCTGTTGCCCAGGCTGGAGGGCAGTGGCAAGATCACCGCAGCTTTGACTTCCTGGGCTCAAGTGATCTTCCTGCCTCAGCCTCCCATGTAGTTGGGACTACACACATGTACCACCATGCCTGGCTAATTTTTAAATTTTTCCAAGAAGCCCTATGTTGCCCAAACGGGTCTCGAACTCCTGGGTTCAAGTGATCCTCCTACCTCAGCCTTCCAAAGTGCTGTGATGTCAGGCATGAGCCACCGCACCTGGTCTGATAATTTAAAAATATACAGTAAATTATTGTTGACTGTTGTCACCCTGTTGTGCTATCAAATGCTATATCTTATTTAACTGTAGGTTTGCACCCATTAAGCGTTCCCATCTTTCCCCTTGCATCCCGCTATTCTTCCCAGCCTCTGTAACCATCATTCTACTCTCTATCTCCATGATTCAACTGTTTTAATTTTTAGCTTCCCCATATGAGTGAGGACATTTGAAATTGGTCTTTCTATGAGGAATGCAATGAGTTTGATGTAGAATGAAATTTGTTGAAGTACTCAAAGTTAGCAAATTTCCAAGGCATCCCTGGCCCTGCTTACAGCCTGCAGTTTCCTATACGCCTTGTAAAGGGAGACTTCTGTTTCTACCAGATCTAAGTCCTAAAGGTGTTTTTAAGGGTGGTAATATTGTGTGTTTAACCCTTTGAAGAAGAGAGTAGCCATCTGAATATATCAGTTCTTACATGTTAATTAAAAATCGGTATCTTTATTTTGTATCTATTAATAGAACTAAAACAAAAAGGGCCACAGGCTTTGAGAGACCACAGTGACCACAAGAGGCTGTTGCAGTCAAGAAATTCTTCACAGAGGGCATGAGGCATAGATGTGGCTCTGTCACCTTTTCCCAGAACCACCCTCGCTACTGAAAAGACTGTTGGCTCCCAACCCAGTATTCACTCTCCGTGCCTTCCTTGATAGAGTAATTGCAGAGTGGGAATGTGCTTGGCTAAAAGACTACATTTTCTAGCCTCCTTCACAGTAGGGGTGGTTAATGAAATCCCAGGAGGTGTTGGGTGGTCAGGGTTGCCAGATTAAATGAGAGTTACCTAGTTAAATTAGAATTTCAGTAAACAATGAACATTTTATTGTTGTTGTTGAGATAGAGTCTCATTCTGTCACCCAGACTGGAGTGCAGTGGTGCCATCTTGGCTCACTGCAACTTCCATTCCCGGGTTCAGGTGATTCTCCTGCCTTAGTCTCCTGAGTAGCAGGATTACAGGAGTGAGCCACCACACTTGGCTAATGTTTATATTTTCAGTAGAGATATGGTTTTGCCATGTTGTCCAGCCTGGTCTCAAACTCCTGGCCTCAAAAGATCTACCAACCTCAGCCTCCCAAAGTGCTGGGATTACAGACGTGGGCCAGTTTGTCTGGCCTACCTCTTTTGTCCTTTATCCCATTTTCTTTCCTGGGATATGGATGCAATACCTAGGGCTCCAGCCTCCTTCTTCGGTCGGGAAGTTAAGGATGGCAAATAAGAAAGAAAGAGGACTGCATACCTTCAGACTTTCTTATGTGTGATAGTAACCATTGATTTTTCTTTTTCTTTTCTTTCTTTTTTTTTTTTTTTTCTTGAAACAGAGTTTCACTCTTGTTGCAATGGCATAATCTTGGCTCACTGCAACCTCCACCTCCTAAGTAGCTGGGATTACAGGCATGTGCCGCCACACCTGGCTAATTTTGTATTTTTATTAGAGACAGGGTTTCTCTATGTTGGTCAGGCTTGTCTCAAACTGCCCACCTCAGCCTCCCAAGGTGCTAGGATTACAGGCGTGAGCCACTGTGCCCAGCCACCATTGATTTTCTGTAGCTGCTTGTTGTACCTCTGTGATTTGCAGCCAACTGCTCTTCCTAACTGCTATAGCCATAATAAGGAGTGCATTGTGGTGGCAGCAGCTGAAGTTGATGAAGAATCAGTCAGTAAAGCCAAAGAGAATTGGAGTGAAAAGAAAGCACAAAGGCTATGTCCAAACTGGGCCTTTGACAGGTTACGGGTTATTAGGGTCACTATCCAGAAATTTAAAAATATCCTCTTTGTCATAACAAAACCAGATGTCTACAAGAGCCCTGCTTCAGATACCTACATCATTTTGGGGGAAGCCAAGATTGAGGATTTATCTCAGCAAGCACAAGTAGCAGCTACTGAGAAATTCAGTTTAAGGTGAAGCTGTCTCAAACATTCAAGAAAGCACAGACTCCAAATGTACAAGAGGAGAGTGAAGAGCACAAGGTTGATGGAACAGGTATAGAAGTTAAGGACATACAATCGGTCATGTCACAAGCAAATGTGTCGAGAGCAAAGGCAATCAGAGCCCTGAAGAACAGCAGCAAGGACATTGTAAATGCTGTTATGGAGTTAACAATGGAACTACCTGAAAGCAACTTTTTTTGGTGTCTGAAAGGAGTAACTGCCGCTTGGTTTGAAATTTGTACCGTTTCTATCATAAAGTTATAACTTCTTGTTGGATGGAAAAAAAAGAGTGCATTGTTATTTTTGGTGTTTAGTTCAGTCTGTTTACCATGTGTCATTTTGCCTTGGCCTCTTGTGTAAAATAAACCATTATATATATATATTTTTTGAGATGGAGTCTTGCTGTGTCACCCAGGCTGGAGTGCAGTGGCACAATCTCAGCTCCCTGCAGCCTCCACCTCCCAGGTTCAAGTAAGTCTCCTGCCTCAGCCTCCTGAGGAGATGGGATTACAGGCATGTGCCACAACGCCTGGCTAATTTTTTTGTATTTTTAATAGAGACAGGTTTCACCATGTTGACCTGGCTAGTCTTGAACTCCTGACCTCAAGTGATCTACACCTCCCACCCCCCAGCCTCCCAAAGTGCTGGGATTGCAGGCATGAGTATATTTTTCTAAGGACTCCAAGAAAGTGGATAGTGTTCCCTGCATTCTTTGAAATGGTAGCCCTTAACATGAGCTTCTATATTATCTACTTTAACTGCGTTTAGGTATTTTGAGGAATTGCTTTAGATAATTAATAATAACAATACTTATTAAGCAGAATGGTTCCCATCTCTGCTCAGAGATTTGGCCTGAAAACTCGAGTCCCATGAAATGGTACTCTGACACCCCAGAATCCTATTTCAAAACAGTTCTGACAACAGTCTTATAGGCTGTAAAGATGAGCTGAGGAGAGCCATGTGCACAGGAAAAGCTAATTTGCAAAGCACCATCAATAATGCAGGAATGATGTGAAACCTAACTCCTTCAACCTTGTTAGCAAGTCAGCTGCTTTGAGTGTCCACTGTGAGGCATTCTGGGAAATGGAAGGGTTCATAGAGTTGGCCCCCTTGCAAATGAGCTCGAGCTAACTGGCCTAACACGTCTGGGAAAGAGAAGTTACCTGGCCTAGGAACTTTATAAATACCTGTACTCCCCTTCTGCAGTGGAATCTTTCGAAAGTTAAGCAACAGTAAATAATCAACTAAGATTTCTAAGAGTTGCTGCATTTACCTTTCCCTGAATTTTTTTTTTTCTTTGCCCATGAAGCTGAAGCAACTCTGGAATGAGAGCAGTATTTCCTTTTAGGACTCCCTGCTTCAGACATGCAGAGAACAAGATCAGGCCTGGCCTGGCTGGCAGAGACTGCCTGTGGAAGAGAGCTGGGCATAAGGTATGGGTGAGGGATGGTGAGTTAGAATTTAACAGAAGGGGAGGGGAAGAAAACTCACTTGATTTTGTATGTTTCCACACAGGCCTTTCAGCAACATCTATCAGCAAGAGACGGGCAACAGAATCTTGTCCTTGAAAGTCATTGCTGGCAAAAAGGGTCTGGGAGTCAGCTCCTGGAATATCAGCTATATTACAAAAAAGAAATAAGTAATGCAAAGGAACAAGCAATACACATGTGTAGCGAGATTGACCTAGAAAATCTGGCCTTGGTGTCTGGTGATAGGTAATGATGTCATGACGGTTAGTTCAGAGGAGACGATGGATGAGCCCACTAGTAAGCATCTGTATTGCAAATGCAAATAAAACTTAGAATGATGTGAGCTGGCAGAAAAAACAAAGTAAATCTGTTCATTAGTGTTCACAATGTGAAGGGGGAAAAGAACTGCTTTTTTTGTGTGTGTTCAATATCCAGGGAATATTGACTTATATTTAATAAGCATTCAACAAACCTTTATTGAGTTATGACTGTATGCCAGGCACTACGCTAAATGCTGAGAATGCAAGGATTGTACAAGGCCCCTCCATTGCCCACTCTTGATAAAAGGACAGCCAGAACCAGTCACCATTTTTGCACTATGTTTCTCTTAAGATAAGGACAATTGCTGCTCAAAACAAAAGTGCATATCACACGTTGATCGGCAAGTTTGCAATAATTTTAATGGGTTTATTGCAAGCCCTGTAGTAAAACTTAGAAGATCTTTTTATGTTAGAAATCTTTACTACTAAATTGAAGACTTTAGTCAAGTCCTTTAATTTCTCTGGGACTAAGTTTAAACATTTATAAAATCAGGTAACAGAAAATAGAACTAGACTGATTTAATGAATCCTGGTTTAGGAAAAGCAATAAAAGGGGGTTGAGGGCAGACAGCCACTTACTAGACACTTACAAACAGGAGGACTTCAGAATACTTCTCTCTCAAAGTCTCTTAAAGTCTTAGTTTCTTCATCTGAGAAATGGGGATGATGCGATACTTGTTGGGAGGGTGAATAGGTTAATCAGACATTGCACTTGGTTCGATGCAGGGCACAATAAGAATCCCCCAGCGAATGTCGCTGTTTTTATCCTACCTTGAAACTATTTGAATCTTTTTAAATCAATTCTTTGTTTGTATGAATGGATGCTGCATGTATATATGCCTCTCACATCACTGACCTCAGGAAGCAGTTAATTGGGAATTTGCAACATATTGGGGGCATAAACATGGAATGGATTCACTTTTTGGTTCCTAAAATCATCACCTTTTTTTTTTTTTTTTTTTTTTGAGATGGAGTCTGGCTCTGGAGCCAGGCTGGAGTACAGTGGCACAATCTCGGCCCACTGCAATCTCTGCCTCCCGGGTTCAAGCAATTCTCTTGCTCAGCCTCCCGAGTAGCTGGGACTACAGGCACATACCACCACATCCAGCTAATTTTTGTATTTTTAGTAGAGACGGGGTTTTGCCATGTTGGCCAGGCTGATCTCAAACTCCTGACATCAAATGATCCACCTGCCTCGGCCTCCCAAAGTGCTGGGATTACAGGTATGAGCCACAGTGCCTGGCCCCTAATCAGCACTTTCAGTGGTGCTATGTCTAATTCCTTTTTCTGTCCAATAACATCTAGGGCAGATTGTAGAAATTTGCCATTTTCAAAAAAGTAGGTCTGCATAGTTTAAATCTCATTCTAGTTCATAGCTTCTCTCTTCCACTCCACCCTTTCCTGGGCTCCCTCAGTGTGTTGAGCAGGGAGGAGGGGAAGGGGAAGGGACCAGCGCCTCTCAGCGGCCTGCTCACGTCTGCAGTCCCTTCACGCTGTTGATGCTGTGCCACAGCCTTATGCTGTTGGCTTGTCGGTGCTTCCACGTAGCAGGCACCCAAGGTCTGGCGGCATGCTGTGGGTCTTTGGAGGCCCTGTGGGGTTTCCTGGCTCTACAGTTCAGTAACCTGGAAATCTGGTTCTTTGGATGAGCTTCCGGTACCCCCTCAGCTCCTGCCATAGCTGTACTTGTAAGGTCGTTTAGGCTGACTGATAGCACCATGGATGCCATGGTGATCTCTGTGACCTGCATGGACACTCCAGATGAGTTCCTGGAAAGTCTGAAGTAACTGGAAAACCACAAAAGGAGAAGGGATGACCAACCCCTGTGGCGTGTAATTAACTTTAAGACATTCTTCTATTGTTCCTTATTCCTGCCTTAACTGATAAGGCAACTGGACTTTGTAACCAACCTTGGTCAACATTGTGACTCCAGACCCTATGACCCCCTCCCAGCTTGAACTTCTATAACAGCCCACTGCCTACCCCAAACCTATAAAACCAACTCCTATCCCACCGCCCTCTGCTGACTCTCTTTTTGGACTCAACCCACCTGCACCCCGGGGGATTAAACAGCCATGTTGTTCACACACAGTCTGTTTGGGGGGGGGGTCTCTTCATTCAGAGCATGCATTTTAACAGTACCCTCCCAACCTGTTTTAACATGGCTCTATCTCTTTAGTATCTACTGATTTGTCGCTAGGCTTATGTGTAGTTTTCTTGGCATTTTGAGATGTGTTATAAGAAGGCATACATCTCAAAAGTGATATGTGTTTTTGTTTTGAACAGTACTTGTCATTGTCTTACAATCACTGTACAGGCTTGCCCTTAGATGCTTATAACTGGAGTAAATCATTCTCATAATGTTTCTTACCTTTTCCATTTCAGGGCCACCATTGCACTGGTCATCATTCCCATACTTTTCTGGGTTCCCTCACTTGGCCTGAAGCCTTGTCCCCTGTGGACCCCTGCTCAAGTGCATTTTCTGTCTTCTCAACTGCATCGTGAATGCCTCTAGGCAAGGAATGGGCATTCTGCCGCTCCACAGGCTAGCACCCATTGCACCTCGTCACTATCTGTGGGTCATAGGATCCATTCCACAAATCCAGCAAAGACTGTAAGTACCCCCTACCTGTGCAAGGCACTGGTAGTGGCGTTCAAGAAATTGCCACTCACCTAGATGAGGTGGGCAGAAAAAACTGAGGGGAGCTGGTGACACCTTCCACTCTTGCACTGAGGGATCCCATCTTCCATGATTCCTCTTCCCCCAGTCTGATGTTAGGAGGGAAAGAGGTTAAGAACAGGGGCTAGTACAGTAAAAGTCAAGACTTGTGAGACTCTGTATCTATAAAAAAATTTTTTTTTAATATTTTTTTAATGCTAAGTTAAGACTTAAGGGTTTCCTACGCTGAGATGTTCAAGCAGCCCTCCCATAACTGGCTGTGTGGTCATTCCTAAGACATGCACTTTTTGGTTTTACTTCACTGCGATTTCTTACCCCACTGTTGGCTGATTATCTCAGTTGGTTATCTGCTGCTATTAAGACCAAGGCTTTCCTTCCCATCGCCATAGAGATCAAGCCAAAGTCCTCCCGTCGTGTCAATGTTCTGCCTCCTGGCTTGGCTCTGATGACTGGCCGGCCCCACCACCTCTGCCTCACTCCTGGCCGTGATTAATTTTTCTAATATAAATATCCAGTATTTTATTTTCTCTGTTGATATATTTTTAAAAGTATGCAAAAGATTAAAAATGTGATGTTCCCTTTTATCAGAGTCTTAAAGAATCTGTCATTCCTAAAAGTTTCATAGCTGGACATAGTGGCTCACACCTGTAATCCT